TGCTATTGCTGCTGCTGTACAGAGACAGCAAGAACAGCAGCAGCAGCAGCAGCAGCAACGCAACCTTGCTCCTACAAGCAGCAGCAGCAGCAGCAGCAGCAGCAGCAGGCCTCGTGAAGACATCAGCGGGAGCAGCTGGGCCCCCCCGAGGGGCCCCCTACCCGGGCTCGATAGTTTCTTGCTGCTGTCGGCCGATCCAGCAGCAACAGCAGCAGCAGCAACAGCAGCAGCGCTGAGGGGCCCTGACAGTGTGTCTCCCTCCTGCCGTCGTTACCTGCAGCAACTGCAGCAGCAGCAGCAGCAGCAGCAACAGCAGCACCAGCTTGTTCTTCGCGGAGCAGCAAACGAGGCTAATGCTATAAATAACCTCGCAGAGGAGTATATGCTGCTGCAGAATCTAGACAGCAGCAGCAGCAGCAGCAGCAGCAGCAGCACCAGCCTAGGTTATGCGCTGCAGCCTTGCTGCTGCAGCTGCACTACACCAGGCAGCTGCAGCGGGGGCCCCCTCATACCGGGGGCCCCCTGCTGCTGCGAGCTCTCTTCTGAAAAGTGGGTATTCCCCCTCAGTACCCTTTTTCCTGAATCTGATGAGGGGCCCCCCTGGGGGGCCCCCCCATTTGGCTCGGACTGGGGGGCCCCCGAGGGTACTGGACAGCGTGCATCGGGGGGGGGCCCCCTGGTTGGGGGGCCCCCAGGGGAGGGGGGGGCCCCCTCAAGCTGCAACAACTCTGATGAAGCTATTTGTGGTGCTGTGCTGAAGTATGTGGGGCCCCCTGGGGGCCCCGTCTGCGGCTGTCACTGCAGCAGGAACAACAACGGCAGAAGCAGCAACAGCAGCAGCAACAGCAGCAGCAGCAGCAGATGCAGCAGCATCGGCAGGGGGAGTAGTAACAGGAGGGGTGGGCGTCGCAGCATGCGTAGTAGCGGCGGCAGTAACTGGGAGGGGGCCCCTGGTGCTTTCGGGGGCCCCTGGGGGGCCCCCCATGGGGCCCCCCATGGGGGCCCCCAGGGGGCCCCCGGGTATGGTTCAAGTGGGCAATATGTTATTGAGGTGCTGCACAGCGATGATATGAGGCCCCCTATTCCTTTGCCTTTGTCTTTATTTGCGGGGCCCCCTGTTGCAGTAGGCGGCGGTAGTACTGCAGCAGCAGCAGTAGCAGCAGCAGCTGCTGCTGCAGCTGGTGGTGGTGGTGGTTGGTGTGATGTTAGGGATTCATCAGGTCCTCTTTATGTTGCTGCAGCTGCACTG